TCGGCGTGTGAGCAGCTTCCAGAGCTAACCCAGGCGTGAGGGACCAGCTCAGACACCTCTGATGAGTGTGGGAAGGCCCTGCCGTGCCAAACGGTCTGGGGAGAGTTATGGGAATAAACCACCACTGCCACAGTGCCATGGGATGGGGATTTTCCTCCTCCAAAGGGATCAGGGAGCAGAACCAGACAGCCCATGGGCCTGATCCAGGTTCTGACTTCACCCAAGGAGATCTCACTATCTCCAATCCAGGTCCCTTTCTGGGGTGCTGCTTTCCAGCACCTCATTCCCCGGTCTGCCCGTAGATCCAGGGCTGCCCCGCCCCTGGCGCAGAATCCAGCACTTGAACTTCGTACGGCTGGTGACTGCCCATCTCTCTGGTTTGTCAAGGTGTCTCTGCGGGGCCTCGAGGGAGTCAACAGCTCCTCCCAGCCCCTTCTGCAGCACCACGGCCTCCGAACCCCGGGCTCCTTCCCAAACCCTGGGCCCCTCCTCACCCGCATCCCTGCTCGCAGGTCACCGGGCGCTTGGGGTTGTGCTCGCAGTCGTTGAGGTGAGACATGAGGTTGTCGAGGCGCACGACGGCCGTGCAGCCGAACACGGCGTTGTCGCAGGTGATCTGCAGCTTGGACAGCATGTTCCGCATGATCCGCGGCACCGGGCGCAGGTGGGCGACGGTCACCACGCTGCGGTCCACGGGGCACGTCTGCTGCTGCGAGAACCACTGCGTGATGCAGGCATTGCAGAAGGCGTGCTCGCAGTGGGGAGCCTGCGGAGGGGCAGGACACGGCCACGGGTCACTGCCGGGCTGGAAAAGATCTCCGAGACCGAATCCAAGCCGTGCCCGATGCCCGCCTTGCCCCCCGGCCCAGAGCACTGAGTGCCACGGCCAGGCCTTCCTCGGGCTCCTAAATTTCATCGTTTTCCCAGATTAAAACATCCCTTGGCTGTGTTTACACAGACAGGCTCTGCTCTTGTGTCCAAACTGCACTCGAGAGTATTCAGGACTGGGGAGGGGGAGCAGATTTTGGGAACAGGGAGCTTTATCCCTGGTGCCAATTCCTCTCCTGTGCTACCCTTCACAGGAAAGCTCAGAATCCAGGGAGCTCGCGGTGTGCACGGTGCCCATCACCTGATCCAGACATCCACGAGCCTGGGGCTGCCACCAGAGCCTTCCAGCAGCCAAAATCAGTGCTGAGGTGGGACCTACCTGAACTGGCTCCTCCAGGACCCCGCTGCAGATGGGGCATATAAGGTCCTCATCAACGTCCCCCTGGAAACGAGCTACATCATACCCCATCGCTCGTCACCGCTGCCAGAACCCTGCAGAGGGGACAGAGGGCTCAGGGGAGCTGCACAGGGCACAACCCAGCCCTCTGCCTCCCAAATTCCTGCTCTCTCCTGCCCCAGGCACACCTGGAGCTCTCACCAAGTGCCCTATGGGGGAGGGAAAAGGGTCTCAGCCCCCTCTGTGTGCCCAGAGCTGCCCCAACGCTGCTGCTTCCACTTGAAATTCCCAACCCTGACGCAATTTCCCACTTGGTGGTTGTTGGGGTTTGATCTGGGGGTTGTTCTGCACAGTTTATTTGGTTTGCTGAGGTGGGACACGTGCCAGGGACCGTTCCTGGTGCAGCCAGACCCTCGCCAGCCCCACGCAACGGCACCGGCTCCTCCCTGGGAGGAGGGAACGTCCTGCCAAGGATGGCAGCGCCAGGTAATTCCCTTCTCCAACCCCCCAACTCTCTGCCAGGGCCGGCCTTGAGCTCTGCCCCGGCAGTTACTGGGCCCTCTGCTCCTCCTGCCCCGTTCTCACGACATCAAAGGCGGTGTCCAACCCCTGCAGCCCCATAAAGGAGTCCCCACCCCAAATCCAAACAGGAGCTGGCAGGGACAGGAGGGGTGTGAGGACACGGGGAGCCCTCACGAGGCTCTGAAACCACCGTGGCAGGGCAGCAATTCCAGCTGTGCAAACACCAGCAGGTGGCTTTGCATCCCTCCAGCTCTCAGGATGCAGCTCCAGAACTCTGGATCCACCTGGAGGTTCATTAACAAAACCCTTTCCCTGCCAGTCCCAGGGATCCTCTGGGTATTCCCAGGTCTGCCCAGCTCCTTCTACGTGAAATACAAGATACAGAAACCAGGCAGGGGCAGTTCCTGAGCCAGTTTGGCAGGATTTCTGTCAAACCTCTGGAATTTAAGGAAGATCTCGCTATTTCCACGTGGATATTGATTTAAACCAAAGCTTTTTGGAGCAAGAAACCCCCCAGACCCGGGAGCAGCCACCATTCCAAGGCTCCACGTGCGTGGAGGGAGGACTGAACTCCTGCAGGAAGCTGTGGGGGAAGGAATGAAGCCATTCCCACGGAGAAGGGAGGCTGTGAGAGGGCCCTGCTTTACCTCCCGTGGCAGAATTCCTCCCGGAGCGGCGCAGGGCTGGGCTGGCTTCACTCTGTGCAGGGACACTCTCCCAATGGCCCATCTTTCCCCTCACTCTTCCACAGCCCAGAACGTTCCTCGGGGGCCCCGCGCCGGAGTCAGACAGGACAGAGCTGATCCCAGGGAACAGAGAGGGAGGGAGGATGAGGATGGTGAAGGAGGTGGAGGCTGTGCCCTGCCCATCGCCCCCCTCCAGCCACGTGGGAAAGGAGCTGGAATTTTCTGAAGAGCCTTTGAGACTCTCCAAAAAACGACGGAGAACCTGCGGAGGAGCCGTGGATTGCCCGGAAGGCGCCGATCCCACCGTGGACACGGCGGGGACGAGGGGCCAAAGGCCCCAAGCTGAGAATTCCCACTGTATCCCAACCCACTCCTTGCCTCCGGGGATTTCTGATTTCAGTGGGAAGAACGAGGGTCCCTTCAGAGCCCCAAACCAGCCCTGGAGAGCCCTCGTGCCCCCCCTGAACATGACAATGACACGGATCCACATCCCCGTCTCCCTGTGGCCCTCGGCTTTGGGAATTCCAGCCCCATTCCCAGCTGGATCCACAGGGCAGGGACACAAACACCAGCCCATTGGGCAAAGGCTCAGCTCTGCAGTGACAAAATCCTGCTAAAAATACCGGTTTCCCCAAATGCCACTTAAAAAAAAAAAAAAAATCTCCTGACACAAATCCAAGTTTTTCTCTCTCTCGCTGCGAAAAATCGACAGAACGGGAAAAACTATTTTGGTTTGAGCTCCTGGTCATGGCAACGAGGGGGAAAACCAGCTCAGGAACAGCCTGGGTGGTGCTGCCATGGGGGTTTGGGCACCAGAACCTTTGACACCATTATTACTGAGGCACCAGAATTTCCCTGGTGCTGCTGAATTTTGGGGCATTTTCACGTTTATCACTTAAAATCACGGCAAAAAGTGCCCTTCCTGAAAACAAGGTTGAGCTCGGGTGCTGTTTAATTCCTGCCTTCCCTCTGCTTCCCAAACACTGCTGGGCTT